GAGGAACAAATGAATCAATTAAATTAGAATCTCTGCTTATTACCTTTCAAGGTGTCAAGGTCATGAAAGTCCAGAAAAAACAGAGGAACTGCTCTTGACTGAAAGAGGCTAAGAGAAAACTAAATTCAATGCATGAGTCTGAATGGATCCTTTCACTATTAAAGAACCTTATTGAGACAACTGTTGAAACTTGAATGAAGTCTAAGGACTAGACAGTAGTAATGTACCAGTGTTAAATTTCCTAATTTGGATGCTTATAATGTGATTTATGTAGGAAAATGCCCCTTTATGTTAAAAATGCATATTAAAGGATTCAGAAATGTGAGGCATTATATTGGCAACTTATTTTCAAATGTTCATGAGAAAAAGTTATTTGTACTGCACTCACAACTTTTCCAGAAGTGTGAAATTGCTTTTAAAAAATCAGAACCTCTGGGGTTGAGTCTGGGCATCAATACTTTAAAAGCTGCCTAGGTAATTCTAATGTGCCACCAAGATGAGGAACAACTGATATAGAGTCTTCATTATCGTCATTAAAGATAAAAGGTTACATACTTTTTTACTGAGTGCATAAATCATCATTTATTTAACTAAACACCTCCCTCTTTTCCTTCAAAAGTCATTCATCAAAAAGAGCTTTTCCTGCAAGGCAGGAAAGAATCTCTTCCTTATGAGTACTCACTGTCTCATGCGGCTATATATGAGAGAACAGCCACTGCAGTAATAATAATAATGATATAATTACTATCATTTGTTGAGCAATTACTACTTGCTAGGAACTACACTATCTTTATCTGCATTTTATGGGATGAGGAAACCTAGGTGCAGTGGGATGAGTAACTTGCCCAGAAGTACAGAGTTATCCTGACTCTTGGCTATGCTGCAGCAAAGGGAAGCAAAGTGCTATGAAAACACACATATGGATCTCTGATGCAGACAATGGGGTCAGGAAAGGTTTCTCAGAGGAGGGAACATAGGATAAATCTTTATACATACACATTATTTCTAATTTTAATTACCACACATACAAGTACTCCTTCCATGAATATCCGTGCAGATAACTTTCTATTTTGTAGTCCTGTCACCCTCCTCTTTTGGTTAGATTCTAAGAAGTAGAATTCCAGGATAAACTGTATGGAAAAATCCCAAAGCTTTCAATACCTGTTGTCTTATAGCTATTACCAGTAATATGAGGGTATCCACTTGACTGCAGCCTTATCAGCAGTGGGCATTATTACTTTAAAAATTATTTGCCATTAGTAGGAAACTTGTATTTCCTTGATTACTAGTTAAACTGAACATTTTTCCATCAATGCTTTAGCTAAAACACAAATTTAAGATCTTTATAATTACAAAAGAGTATCAGAGAACGTTAGCAGTGAAATAATATTCTAGAATGTCTCATATTATAGTCATTTATTCTTACAATCACAAAAGTGATTGTGTCACAGTTAGCAAGATCCAAACACATCCGATTTCTATATTCATGCTAAGATTTTTGATCCCTCAAACTTACTGTGAGTTCTATGAGAACAGGGGAAATGTCGTTTGATTTTAAAGTGCTATCACAATGCTGACAAGTAAAACATGTTCTATAATTGTTTGCTATAAAAATAAATGGCAAAATAATGGATGATGACAAAATATAAATTGAAACCATACTTTCTGAGCTCTACACATATGACACATAGTTTAGTAAAGATCACATTAGGGAAAGATTAAGGAGAAGCAACATGTTCCCCTCTCCTTGCTATGTAAATAGGATACATTCCAGTTTGCCTATAACAGTTCTGGTTTATGCCTCTTGTCCTAGCATCTTGTTTGATTGGAGTTGCCTTTCAAAAGGATCCTGGACTGGACAATAAACTTGATGGTCACTCTACATCTAAAGAACGTTCCTGTAACGAATAGCAGATCTTAAGGACAAATTGCTTTCCTGATCAGACAGTTTGTGTTTGTGTCTCTCTGAATTTCACTTTTAAGACTTATGAGCAGATAAAGTCTTTTGGCCTTTAAGTATTTTTATAATACTTTACCATTTAAAGCCAAGTAACAATCTGCAAGTAGTTAATCCCTAACTAAGAGAATATCCTTGGCCATATCAGCATTCTTTATTCAATTTCATTGATAAGAGAAGTGAAGCATGTAAAGAAAAAGTGACTTATCCAAGATTACATCAAGTATGAATAATTAGCCATATGAGAGGAGGCTGCTGGAGCTAGTTTTTGATTAATTCTCTAAACCACACAGTTACTAATTTGCAAAATAATTTTCAGTGCAGTTAGGCCAGAAAGATTTTAATCATTTAGTAAATGGCTTTGTAAACTGCAGGCAGTAATAGTCTATTTCCAATTGCAGGGCAAGATCACAGACATACCTTGGATAATATTTTTTAATGGGTATAAATTTCATCGTTAATAATATTTCAATTTTACTGAGTAATAAGTCTCTATTCAAACCTAGTTTACAGTTCCTAAGCTATCAGAAAATGAAGGGAATATTTATAAAGTAGGTGAAAATTTAAAATGAATATTTAATCCTTTTGGTAATTAAAAAACAAAGCTTGTTACATTTTTACATTTTACAAGTATGTCTAAATTTTATACCTAGGTGCACAGTTTAGATAACATTTTAGTAGATTAGCAGCTTGGATTATAGCAGAAAATATTAATGGAGCCAAAGAAGTCATTCTCTATATCAACAAGAATGAAAACTGATGGGAGTAAATTTAATAGGCTACGACTAAGACACATCTGAAAAAAAGACTCTACTTTTTACATGAAAGGAGAGGCATACCATAAGTGAGTACTTCAAAAAGTTCATGAAAAAATAGAATTAAAAGATAATACGGGCTGGCTGGTTAGCTTGGTTGATTAGAATGTGGTGTTGATAACGCCAAGGTCCAGGGTTTGATCCCTGTGCTGGCCAGCTGCCAAAATAATAATATTAATAACAATAATAATAATATGAATCTTTACATGAACTTTTTTTTTTTTCCTTTTTGTCTTTTTTCGTGTCCGGCAACGGATCGCAACCCTCAGTGTCGCGCCCGTACCGGACCGGGACCGGCAACGGGATCGCAACCCTCAGTGTCGCGCCCGTACCGGACCGGGACCGGCAACGGGATCGCAACCCTCAGTGTCGCGCCCGTACCGGACCGGGACCGGCAACGGGATCGCAACCCTCAGTGTCGCGCCCGTACCGGACCGGGACCGGCAACGGGATCGCAACCCTCGGTGTTGCGCCCGCACCTCGCTCAGCCAGTGAGCGGCTGGGCTGTATGTGGGATCCGAACCCTCGGCAGGAGCGCTGCTGCGCTCCCAAGCGGCGCACTGTAGCAGTGCGCCACCGGGCCGGCCCCTACATGAACTTTTTGAAGTACCTTCATATACAGAGTTGAAGAGACTCATTATAGATATGTCATCCCCATATTAATTTATAAACATAAATTAATTATAATCATAATGTCAGTCAAGGTACCACTTGCCTCTTGTGGTGGTGGAATACAGAATTTGATAAAACTCACATAAAGTTCATTTGGAGGAATAAATTTAAGAGACTAACCAAGGAAACTTCTGTGAAGTAGAAATAAACTATAATAATAAAAATGGTATTCTGCTGGCACAGACCAATGAAATAAAATTGAAAGTTCAGAAACAGGCACTGATGTATACTGGTATTCAATAAATGAGAAAGAACAATGAAAGGATGGAAGAATTTAATAAGCAATGTTGTGACACCTAGCCAGATCCATACCTCACACCATATGTCAAATAAATTCCAGGTGGAATGAACATTTCAATGTAAGAAAATGAAAACAAAATGTTTGGGGAAGGCTGTTCTATGTATGACTTCAAAGACAGAATTTTAAAAAGATTTGATTACATAAAACATATATAAGACTAAAACAAATATGTATTAAGGATATCAACCATTTTTCTGTCATTTATACTATAATCAATCATTTGTCTATTAATTTTATTTAGTTTCTTTTGACACACAAAAATTTAAAAAACTATAAAAAGTTAAAAATATCAACCTTTCCTTTATAGTTTCTTTGCTTTTGGCCTAAAAATGATTTTTTAAAATCTCAAACCAGACCACTTTTCACTTAAGAAACAGTAAAGGAAGTTTAGTATTTTATGTTAATTAAATAGATGAGAGGTTGAAATATGACTGTTATTAGTTATTTGATTTTGGGATGTTATGTAACCTCTCTGATTCTCAATTTAATTTTCCTGGAAAATTAAAAATAATATCACCTATTAGAGTTGCTGTGGCAATTAAAAGAAAAAATTTATACAAAGCATTTTTCATGGTAGAACCTGGTACATAGAAAGTGCCAATAAATGGTAGCTGTTACTTTTGATGCTATTAAATTCTATGTTGAACTTCTTAATTTTATTGTAATTTCATGACTAGCAACTTACAGTAATAGTACTGACACCTGATTTAAAGCCAAATTTCACACAATTTAATTAGTGCTGCAGTTTTTTACTTTTTAAATTATTTTTAAATTATAATATATGCTAGTCAGAAAAGATATTTTAATTCATTGAAGACTACCCAGTTATATACAGCATACTACAATTTGGTCTTTTAAAGTTGCAGTCTGAAATCATCACATGGCCAAGTAACAATGTAATTCAAGAATGTTAAAAGGCTTCTTATAGGCCGGCCCGGTGGCGCACTGGATAGTGCGCCGCTTGGGAAGCGCAGCGGCACTACCGCCCGAGGGTTCGGATCCCACATACAGACCGGTTCCCGCTCACTGGCTGAGCGAGGCACGGGAGCGACGCCGAGGGTTGCGGTCCCGTTGCCGGTCCCCGGTCCAGTGCGGGGGCGACACTGAGGGTTGCGATCCGTTGCCGGACACGGAAAAAGACAAAAAAAAAGACAAAAAAAAAGACAAAAAAAAAAAGGCTTCTCATACACCAGAACTTCTAAGATTATTTATAAGTTTGAAATATAAATAGGATGTTTTCCCTTCTTTATCTTACCTCTAATAGGCCATCCTCTGGCAGATCGGTACAGTGGACAGCATTCTGGATCTTAGTTTTACCAAAGATTGCTCTGAGGGTTCCAGGGCGTAAATGCCGGGCAATTTCCTATTAAATACACATTCAGATATACATTAAAGTTAGTCATATGGTGTTAAAAAGAAAAACAGCAGCTATATGAAACACTTGAATTATTTATGTATATGAAATACATGTCATACATTGAGGGTACTTATTTTTCCTGGAAACAGCATGAATGTATGAAAAATTTGAGCACTGAAAATTTTGTTTACTCACACAGCTTTTTCTGCATCTCAATGTAAAGTCCACTGTAATCTATGTCAGAAGGCAAACAATAATCAACTTTCTTTTGTAGAAATCCCACAAAATATGTATCCACTCATTACTGTGAAAGATTTGTATTATACAAAGACAGCAGAGATCCTAACAACTTGATTTAAAATGAACCAGTTTGATGACATTCGTTTCAAAAGAATTTTTTAAAATGTTATAGTTGTATCAGCCTAGCTTACCTGTAGGAGAAAAAAATGGTCACAAATAGCCCTGAATTTAATTTAATAAGGACTGGGAAGTTTTACCAAGAGAATACAACAAAACAAGAGTGGCAAGGGAATGATAATAACGATGGACAAAAAAAAATTAAATTGAGTAAAAAATGAAGTGAGGACCTAGGAGATGGAGGGATGAGAGACAATAAAAATGGATTTGATCTCCTAATTGGATGGGACAATTACTAAGATCGGTGTGTTAGAGGAACTGAGCTGGTAAGTTAAGAGACAGGATACTTGAAATTGAGATTACTGGGGGTAGGGAGTTGGGGGAAAGGGGTTAGAGTGATAGATGATGACCAGTTTTCAGGTATAACCGTGGCTGAGGTTGAATGCAAGAATGTTGGAATAAAAAAGGGAAATAGACTGAGAGGCCAAAGTATTGAATGGATCACCTCTACAGATACGGAAATCCCAAGGAACTATGACAGTTGTAGCTTGTGGTGCAAGGATGCTGAGCAGCACCCACATTCGTGGTTCCATCACTTAAGGATATTTTAAAGGCATGCATTTGTTTAATTACTTAGGTTTTATTTACAAGGTTTCTTCAAATGTATTCCTCTAAATGTATTAAGTTAAAGAAAAACATTTTGATAAATTAGAAAATAAGGATGGCTTTACATTTTATTTCATATTCGTTACTTTCATTGTGTTCCCCATAATTTTCCTAGCAATTAAGTAACCAATATTAAACACCTACTCTGCTTACATAGTGGTAAGCTGCCATTTTCTGAAATAAGATGTACTTTATACAATTATGAAAGGTGAGTACTTATTTTCTTTCTCTTTTCATTTTAGGTTAGGGAAAAACATTTTTAAATGACTCAGTTTGAGTAAACTGTTTTATAAGAATCTATTCTCTCCCAAATTTTATTTGGCTCTCACCAAATTCATTAAAATATTACTTACATGTAATGCCTTCTACAAAAGTTTGCATTATCTCTTTACATAGGCATTGGTCATTCTGCTCCACACTCGATGGTCCAAATTAATCTGAAGACACAGATCTTCAGCTGGTTTCTAGTATTATCTTATTGTTTTCTCTCCTCCATGTTGTCTCTTCTTTAACTATTTCTGTGAGAAAGATGTTGAGACCTCTGATTCTAACTTTCCTTTCCCTTATCTTTGATATTTTCCATCTAGTCTTTTTGTGTTATATTCTTGGAGAATTCTTGCATTTGGTCTGCCACCTCACTAATTTGCTTTTAAACTGGGTCCATTGTGCAATTCTACTAATTTACTGAGTATTTTTAAAATTTCAAAAATTATATTTTTAATTTTCAATATCAATGCTTTTTTTTTCTTGGATCCTATATTCTACTAAGTCTTTCTGAGGAAGCTGCCTCTTTTAAAGTCTCTTTTTGTTCGCTCTAATTGATTTGTTTTCTTTAGGTTTTATTTCTATTTGTGAAGTTTGGTGCTATATGGGGTGTGCTTCTTGCTTTTCCTTCAGAAGGGGGGCTTCCCATTTTTCCTGGCTGTAACTAGTTACTGATCCATTACCTTGCCTCTCCAGCAAAACTCCACATTCACTGCCTTAGGCTGTGGCTAAAAGTATCACAGCAGAAGCAAGCAAAGGTGAAGGGGCTGACTTCCTCTGCTGTTCTTTATGCAGCCTTCGGACTAATCATGCTGCTAACGACCCCAGGCCCCTCCTCAGCCTCACACCCACAGGGTCTGATGCAGATGCACAGCCTAGCCAGAACCCCACCCCTTCTGAAGCAGTCCTCTCCGGCAAGTTGTGTCTGCTATCTGCTTTATGTTCTTCAACGTTTATGGTCTGTTAATGGCAGGCTTCTTTTCCAGCATCATTGCAGATTTACTCTTTAAAATTAAACATGACGGGGCCGGCCTGTGGCTCACTCGGTAGAGTGCGGTGCTGGTAACACCAAGGCCACGGGTTCGGATACCATATAGGGATGGCCGGTTAGCTCACTGGTTGAGCGTGGTGCTGACAACACCAAGTCAAGGGTTGAGATCCCCTTACCGGTCATCTTTAAAAAAATTAAAAAAATAAATAAATAAACATGACAATTTAAAACATATCTCCTGAAAATTCCTGTAAGGATTTGGGAAGCAAGGGGATAAAGAGCACATCTACTATCTTGATGCAACCTCATCTTAACTGACATTCTCTATTTCTCCAAACCCAACGAACCATCTCTAATTCATTTATCTTGCTGCTCTCATTTTGTATGTAAAGTGCTAATATTATCACGCTACTCACTTGCTCAAAAATTTTTGAAGATTACTAATTGCCTATGGCCAAATGCCTAAAGTTCCTACAGTAATCCTGCCTTCTCTAATATTTCTGCAGGAATTTAAACTCCTATTATAGGCTTTCTGACTTGCAATTTATATAGTTTTTTGTGTGCCTGTTTTAGTAAGTTCCCATTAGATTCTCAACCCCTTAACACACAAAAAACTTCCTTGACATTCTATATCTTACTAAAGAACACACAGTAAATATTTGGTAAAATTTGATAACTGACAGAAAATGGCAATACTATTCAGAGAGCCAGGATGGAGTAGTAACAAAAAGCAGGAGCTGTGGAGGAAGGCTCTCTGGACGTGAATTTTGCTCTGCTACATAACAGTTGTGTGACCATGCCCGTTACTTAAGCTCTCTGTACCTGCTTTTACATTCTTGTTTGTAAAAGAGGAATAAAAATAGGACCTAACTTAACAGTGTTATTGTGTGAATTAAAGGAGTAAATACAGATAAAAGTATTTAGTACAGTGCCTGGCATGTGGTAAACATTCAATAGATAATGGCTGTTAGTTTTACTCATATAATCTTAAAATTAAAGGAATTAAAAGGAAATTAAGATGAGGCAATTCTTAAAGAGACAAAAAAGATATATTTTGATAAGTATCAAAGATAATCCAACTAAATATTCAACTATCTTTCAATAAATATATGTGTAACACTTCAAGAGTTTTAATCACAGTTTTAGAATAAAGGTAAAAGTTTAAATAATCAAATAGTAAGACTTTTAGATCAGAAGATAATAAACTATGGGGCCGGCCCGGTGGCGCACTGCTATAGTGCGCCGCTTGCGAAGCGCGGCGGCGCTCCCGCCGA